AGGGACGTTGAGCGACGTGGAAAAGGAGACGTTTACTGTGAAATACGACGACGGCGATAGCAAAACGCACCCACTTAGCTGGGTGAGCCGGCGGCGGGTCCGCCTACATGGGAATGACACCGGCGGGTGCAAGCGGCTGGGATGCCTGTTCGCGTTTGGGCACGACGGTGCGTGCTCTCACGAGCTGGATGCGGCAAGCCAATGCCGGCACCGCCGGCCCCCATCGCCATTCATACCAGAGCCGGCACCGCCACCCTCAAAGCTGAAGAAAGCCGCCGCCGCCGCCGCCGCCGCCGCCGCCGCCGCCGCCACGGGTCCGCACACGGTCGACCGCAACATACCAACCGAGGGGGAGGACGAATGGCAGGGGGAGCAGGAAGGCGATTTGGGTGACGTCTCCCTCTCCCTCAAAGAGTTGCGGCAGCTCTGCGCCGCCGAACGCATCTCTACGCGCGGAACCAAGACGGCGCTGCTTCGGCGTTACGAGAACCGAGAGCTATGGCGCGAGCGATTCGGAGCGGTGCACGACCGGCAGCTTGGCCTGCACGTGCCGCAGGCGCAGCGCTTCTCTGGCCCGCGCCTGCCTTCGCTGGAGCCGACAAGAATCGACTCGCTCCTTTTTGAGGGCGCTGCGGCCGCCGGATGGGACGTGTTCCCTCGCAACCAGGCGGACCTCAAGGTGGGAAAGTTTGCTTACGAGGCGCCTGACGGCGGCGGTCTCTTCAAGAATCGGCGCACCGCGCGAGAGCACGCGGGCATCCCGCCTCCGGAGAAGAAGGCCGCGCCTGCCAAGTGCACAAAGTCTTCGCGCTGCATGAAGCTGCTGGGACACATCGGCCCGTGTAAGCTGCGAGCGAAGCCACAGCCACCCAAGTGGCAATGGGCTGGGTACAAGTCGCACCGCCCTCACGAGCTGCTCAACCGCCGTGTGCTCCGCTACTTTGACGGCGATCCTTATGAAGGGACGATCATAAAGTGGCTGCCCGCCGCCGTCATGACCAAGTCGGGGCAGGCGCTGGAGCCCGGGCAGCTCTCGGACAATACTGTGCTGTTTGGAGTGCGGCACGACGACGGCGACGAGGAGCAGCTGGAGGAGTGGGAGGCGATCGATGCTATTAATCGATATGGCTCGCTGCATATGGCGACTCCTTCCCTCACCGCTGCATCCCCGGCCTCCCCGGCCTCCCCGGCCTCCCCGGCCTCCCCGGCGTCCCCCACCTCTCCTTCTATCTCCTCCTCCACTGCCTCCCCCACCTCCGCCTCCACCGCTTCTGCCGCCTCCTCTTCCACGTTCCCAGCCGCACCCGCCGCATCCGCGGCGCAGCAGCAGCGGCAGCGGCACATTCGACTGCCTCCGGGGCGTCCGCAGCCCTCGCCTTCTGCCCACCGCCGCCCCCGCGGCAAGATCGTCGATGTGATCGACGCACGCCTCCGAGGTGGAGGGCACGAGCTCCAGGTCTTGCGTGAGGATGAGGGCCGCGAGCTGCGCAAGCACAAGGGCGAGGAGTGGATCGCGGTCACCGAAGTGCCGTCCACACTGCGCGGGACGGCGGAGGAGCTGATCAGGCAGCGTGAGGCGGAGAGCAGCACCTTGCTCGCCGCTGCAGCAGGCTCGGACAGCGACAGCGACGACGAGCTCAGCGCATCGCTCACCTCCTCCCTTCCATCGATGGGGCAGGGAAGTGCGCAGGGACGAGGCGCCGCCGCCAGCGAAGAGGCGGCCGGCGCCAAGCGTTGCGCGACGCATCCAGCGGAGGACGCGGCGCCACCGCCAGCGAAGAGGCGGCCGGCGCCAACAGCGCCAGCCAACCCCGAGGAGCAGGCTGTTGTGCCCGCAGGGTCGGAGGGGTCAGTGCCGAATGCTTTGGACATGGGCCTGGGTGCTGCAAACGGGACGGCGGCAGTTGTGGCGACGCAGCCGGGCCCTGCGCCCACGCGAATGCCACCGCCGCCGCCGCCGCAGCAGCAGCAGGGCACGGGCACTGCACACGCGCCTGCCAAGAGTGCCATGCACTTGAAGCTCGAGGAGGTGAAGAAGTTCTTTGACCAGGGGCTAATCGACGAGGACGAGTGGAGGAAAACAAAATCCAAGATCCTCGGCATCTAGAGCTGCGGTTCAGTCTGGGTTCTATGCTATGCGAAGTTGATAGCGCGCCAATAGCGCGTTTGTCGACGGACGTCGGGCCTCTCACCCGACGACGGGCGCTGCCGCAGATCGCATGCCCAAACCCTTGCACGGGGGATAATTTTACTTTTTGCGTTTTCTCCAAAATAAAAGAAGAATCCCGCCGGAAAAGAATTCGCGACTCGCGCGCCGGCCCCGAGCTCGCTGTCCCGTTCCAGTGTTGTGCGAGGGCGGCCCTGTAAATTCTTCGCCTGCTCTCGCCGCTTGCATGGCGTCTTTCAGGGCCCGCCTCGAAACTGCGGCCTCCGCTGTACGATCCGCCGCGACGAACAAGCGATACAAGTCCGTTACTACCTCGGAGGTGCGCTGCCGCAGCGCCGCGTATCCACGCTCGCACCGGCGCGCATCACCCGCACGCGCCAACCGTCGCCGCGCCGTCGCCGCAGCTCGACTCAGCGTTTTCGATTGAGGACGGCGAGGAAAGCACCACGGGCGTGCCCGACATCAACCGTCTGAATGCGCAGCACGCGGAGCTGCTGCGGCAGGCCGAGAGTACCATCTCGTCCACCGAGACACATGTGCAGTGGCTGAGAGAGGAGCGTCTGCAGGCGCGGCTCTCTTTGAGCACAGACACGCTCCCTCTGCCTAGCGCCAGCTCTTGCACCCGCGCCAACCGCGGCTCGGAAGACGGAGAGGATGACAGCCCCATCCGCGCCTCGTCTACAGAACCAGCTGTCCGTGGCGGAGCTACACGAGCACGCCGCGCCGCCGAGCTTCTTCGGGGGGCGACGGAGGCGGTGCTGTCGAGGCTGTCGAGCGATGTGCACAATTCAGTAGGCAGGAGGCACTTGCAAGTTTTTCTTCCTTCAAGCACTTGGAGCACTTGGAGTGCCCAGTGCCCAGTGTGCGGTGCCGCGGGTCATTAGCCTGAAAGAAAGAAAACCCCGCGGTAGACGGCACGCCGCCACCACACAGGGATTTGGAAGGAGTGGAGTGACGTCGTCTGACGAGTGTGGTGCTAGCCGTCGCCCACCCTTGCCCCTTGCCGGGCGCGCGTCTGCCGTCCGCGCTCTTGCCTCTTCCTGTCTCTCTCCCGCAGCGCGCCAGCGGGTGTGCGCGCGTGGCTCTCGCCGATATTGGTCTCACTCTCAGCCGAGCACTCAGGTCTGACTGTGCGACTCTCGTCGCAGCACACAGCGGCCGAAGGCCTTCATGCCTTCATCTTTTCGTCACGTTTATGCCACCTCCCACCTCGCGGTCGTCCGTTGGCCCTGTATACGAGGTTTTCCGGCAAACAAAAAGGAAAACAGAGGGTCCCCAGCACTTTGCGTTTCCGGAAATTTCCAGGGAAAACAGAGGGTGTTTGGTGCTCCATTCTGGAAACTCGCGAGTTTCCCTGAGTCTGAGAGCTGGTCTGGGGCAAAATCTGAGGCAAAATTGAGGAATCAATACCCAGGCGGTCGCAGGGTAAATTCCAGGTCTACACGTTCTCCGCAAAATTCCCGGCATTTTGACGATTTGGCCTAAAATTTGGCTGATTTTGGGCCCAAACCAGCCTCAGACTCGGCTCAGAGCGGCCAAAAAATTGACGATTTCCACGGAGTTTTCCCGGGAAAATAGAGAGGAAAAGAGAGGCTGAGGGAGGGTGTAGAGGATGTAGAGTGTAGAGCGCTGTAGAGCTGTAGAGCTGTAGAGCGCTGTAGAGCGCTGTAGAGCGCTGTAGCGCTGTAGAGCTCTACATCCGCCGCGGGACGAACTGCGTGCGTTGTAGAGCGATGTAGAGGCGCTCTACAACGTGAAATCTCTACAACAAACTCTACATCAAAAGCGGCGAACGAGGCACGGTCGCTCTCCGACATGAGGCGCGTTGCACTTGCCAGTGCTGCCCTGGCCTTCTGTCTGCCCGCCCAATGGGTGGCAGGTGCCTCTGCTGCTGTGGCATGCCTCACGGCTGCGACTGGCCGGCGCCTCGGCACGTCAGCTCGGCTCGGCGTAGCGATCGTGGCCAGCGCAACTCGCCTGGACTCAACGCTCAGCCAGGAGCTCCCGCACGCGCTGGCGCGAGTCATGGCTCATGCAACGCTCAGCAATGCTCGCCTCGCGCTCGCGCAAATGCGACCGTCCTCGCAGCCGACAGTCCACCGCCTGCTAAAGAAGCACAGCGACGAATGCGGCACCGGCGACGCACGGCAGGCTGGTCATGACGCAGTTATAGGGTGTTGTGTGCCGTCAGAGTGACTATCTGTGTGTCAGGGATAGTCAGGGCCGTCCATCAGAGCTCCAGTAAGCTCGGAGACACCCCATTAGTGCGACTCGACCTCTTTGAGTCACTGCCTTCCCGGCGGTTTGGCTGTAGAGCCTCTACAACAAACTCTACAGCAAAATCGCGCTCTACATCGCTCTACAACGCACGCAGTTCGTCCCGCGCCCGATGTAGAGCTCTACAGCTCTACAGCGCTCCAGAGCGCTCTACAGCTCTACAGCTCTACAGCGCTCTACACTCTACATCCTCTACACCCTCCCTCAGAAGAGAGGGTGCTGTAGAGAAAAAAGGAAAGGAAAACAGACGGGGTGCGAGAGGAAAACCTCGTACAGCCTAAGTCGTCCGCTCGTCCCACTCTCGTCGTTCTCTCTCCTGCCGCTTCATCGTCTGACTCATCGCTCTCCTCGGCCTCGTTCTGCGACGCCGCCGCCGCCTGCCGATCCCTTGCTCTCGCGGCTTCTCTCGCCTCTCGGCGTAACTCCGCTCTCTCTCGTCGCAGCGTATGTTGGCCCCTCGGGTTTATAGAGCTTTCCTCGCGCAAGCACTTTGAGCACTATGTGTAAAGAAAGAAAACGCACAATGCAGGCCACGAAACCACGACTGGCCGGAAGCCTCATTCATCTCATGACAACAAGGCTCCGTTTGGCCGCCCACACGCTTCGCCTGCCTCGGCGTGCGCAGCACACGCTGGCACGTGCGCAGCACACGCTGGCAAGCCTCCCGGCGCGTGTGCGCATCTACGAGCTCGGTGCGCGCGACGGCTTGCAGAACGAGCAGCGGATAGTCGATGCAGCCACCAAGATTGAGCTGATCCACCGGCTGGCGCGAATGGGCGCGTCATCGGTCGAGACCACCTCCTTCGTCTCCGCCCGCGCCGTGCCGCAGATGGCCGACTGCGAAGCCGTGATGGCGGGCGTCGAGCAGCGCGAGGGCACCGACTACCCCGTCCTCGTCCTGAACCTCAAGGGCTTTGAGCGCGCAAAGGCAGCGGGCGCGCGCTCGATCGCGGTGATGGCGGTGCCGTCGGTCACATTTGCGCGAAAGAACAACAACTGCACGCCTGCCGAGACCGTCGAGCGCGCCGCGACGGTCGCCGCTGCAGCCAACGCGGCGGGGATGCGTGTGCGCGGGTACGTGAGCTGCGCGCTCGGCTGTCCGTTCGAGGGGGCGATGGAGCCCGCGGCGGTGGCCGACCTGGCCGAGGGGCTGCAGGCGGCGGGCTGCCACGAGGTCTGCCTCGCCGACACCATCGGCACCGGTGCCGCGCCCCACCCTGCCCTCCTCCTGCCTCTGCCTCCCGCCTCTGCCAGCCCGCCTCTGCCTTCTGCCAGTCCGCCCGGCACTTGGCGGCGGATGGGTGGCCGCTCCACCGCGGCACCTCTGCCCCGCAGGCACGCCCGGGAGCATGCGCGCCCTCCTGCTCGAGGTGCTTCCTCGCGTCCCTTCCGACCAGCTCGCGGTGCACTGCCATGACACCTACGGCCAGGCGCTCGCAAACATCTACGAGGCGCTGCAGCACGGTGACAGCCGCCGCCGCCGCCGCCGCATCACACACACACACACACACACACACACACACACACACACACACACACACACACACACACACACACACACACACACACACACACACACACACACACACACACACACACAGCACCCAAGCTCACGCCGACCACCAGGCGTGAGCGTGATCGACTCGTCGGTGGCGGGGCTCGGCGGCTGCCCCTTTGCAGGCCCTCCCGCCCACCTCTCGCCCTCCCGCCCACCTCTCGCCCATCCTCCCCCCCTCCTCGCCCTCCTCGCCGCTCCTCGCCCTCCTTGCCCTCCTCGCCTTGCTTGCGGCCGCCGAGCCGCCCGCCCCAGCTCGCCACCCCTTACCCTTCCGCAGGGCCTGGCGCCTCCGGCAACGTCGCCACCGAGGACGTCGTCTACATGCTCGACGGGCTCGGCATCGAGAGCGGCGTCTCCTTCGAGCAGGCGAGACACAGCCGAGACAACCGAGACACAGCCAAGCGGCGTCTGGTTCGAGCTGTCGCGCGTCTGGAGGGGGGTAGGATGGCCCGTGCCCCGCGAGACGCAGCCTCGAACTCGCCGCTGCAGGCGGTCGATGCGGGCGAGTTCATCGTCCAGGCCTTGGGGCGACACAACTCGTCGCGCGCCGCGGTCGCTTTCCAGCGGCGCGGTCGGCCCTCCGGCAGCGCCGCCGCTAGCCGGCCGGGCGGCCGCCTCCCGGGGGAGAGCTGGAAGCAAGCGGCGGACGAGCTCTCCGAGCCGCCGGCAGAGGCGCCGCCGCGCCGACTCTTCCCCTACGGGCCTCTCTCGAGCGTGCGGGGCGACGCGGTCTGACGGCGACGGGCGGCATTTGCATCCTTGCCTTGGATATACACCCCGGACGTGGACGTTTTTTTGCACTTTGCGGGGAGACAGTGCTCAGAGCCCGATGAGATACTGAGGCTTGGGTAGCTGGAGGGCGCACCAGCTAAAGCCGTAGCAGCACTCTTGTGTGAGCACGCTAGTCGCTAGACGCTACTTCTTCCTTTTGAGACTTGGCTTGAGAGAGTTCTCGAACCGAGCGGCTCCGTGGAGATCGATCGAGGGGTCCCGTACCAACTACCATGCGGAATCGACCCGCCGGACAAGCTACATGCACCCCAGTGCTCAAGAGTCAAGCACTTTTCTTCATATCTGGGGCCTCCGGCGCCAGTGCGAAGTCTAGTCGCCCTAAACCACCCCGCCCTCCGGGCATACTCCGAACTCCCACACGACAACACACGCGCGGCCGGCGCCTCTCATGCCCTTCTCCACGCACACCGCGTGAAAACTGCGCGTACGTCCCCGCGCGCACGCAAACACGCGCAGCGCCATTTCAGAGCTGTGCCATGTGCGTCTGCCCTGTGCTGGCGCCCCATGGCCGTCCCGCGCCGCCCGCACCAGCTGCGCGCCCCTCGCACTACCAGAGCAAGCCGCATATCCACTCACGCCGCGACGCGCGCGCCGCAGCACACCTCACCAGCACACCTGCGCCTTTTTGCGCCCTGTGCAGGCTCTGCAGACTGCTTCTGGCATCCCACAAGCGGCTGTACTAGGACGCGCCGCGAGTGCGACGGCACCGCGCAGGCCCAGGCGCGCACGCACGCCCGCACGCGCGCTCGCTCATCCGCCCAGTCTGCTGTGCACAGCCTGTCAGCCTGCCTGCACACACAGCATACAGCACCATGTGCACGCATACGCTTAGACGCAGCCCGCACCCCACTACAATAGCCTGCCTCACGCCTCACCACGCCGTCTCGCGCACACCGCCAGCAGCCCGATCAGAGAAACTGCAGCGCGCGCCTCTGCACGCCTGCAGCTTCTCTGCATTCTGAGACCTTCTCAATCCACCCCGCCGCCGCGCCTCCCCGGGCACACACCGCAGCAGTGAAGATGTGAGTCGAAGTATGGGATATCGACCGAGCCCGCGCCTGCCGCACAGGTTTCCGTTTCTTTTTACTGCCATAAGCATAAAAAGAAAAAACACCATGGCGAAAATCGTTTAACAAACAGCGACGACCAGCAGCAACGATTTACAGCAGCGTCCTGCCGAGTGTGTGTAGCACCGACGCAGACGCACCCCAGGCACTACACTACGACGGCTAGGCAGACCTCACCAGTCCGATAAGGATCAACTGGAAGGTTGAACCTCGAGCTTAGACAGAACGGGCGCGACAGACTCCAGGGGAGATCGCGCTCTACTCGGGGCACCAAGGAGGAAAACCGAAACCGTTTGGGTGCCCCACAAAAACCCAAACGCTACAACCTAAAAGTCACACCTCCCCCCCACGTCCCCCCCCCCTTGGGGACGTAGCGCACGCCCTTACTCGGAGAGAGTGGGGGGGAGGGGGGGTGGGGGAATAGGAGGAGCCGTCGAGCTCGGAGTAAGGTCCACAGTAGAGAGACAGGCATTTAAGGCGTAACTTCACCCTCGCTCACCTTGAGTATATCTAGGCGCCCTGGTGCAGTCGGTCTTCGGATCAGCGGCCAGCTTCCCATCTAGGGCAGGGAACCCCCAGCGACGCTAGTGTGGCCTACGGTAGCCTCAGCTTGTACGCGATCCCGGGGCAGGGGGGTGTGGACTCTAGAGCTCCAAGAAAGGATAGGGAGAGGAAGGGAGATTGGTGTGCCGGTTTTTCGCGTTAGCAATTTTTTTTCTCAAGAGTCAAGCACAAGTTACAAGTTGTTAGAAAACGGGGCGGAGAACAGGATAGAGGATTGGAAAAAATCTTTTAAATACAAGCCTCTCTCAGAGTTAACTCTCACATTTAACGAATACAAGCCTCTCTCTCACAGATACTCACAACACAGTGAGTGTGTGTGTGTGTGTGTGAGTGTGTGCTCACTCACAGCTCACCTTCTCAACAAAAGGTCTCGGACAGGTAAGAGGCGTTAGGTAGGAAGGTGAAGAACAGCCAGGCTCGCGGGACTGGACACCAACGCGGTATGGGTGGACGCGAGACAGATGATGACGACACGCACGAGCGACACACAGACACAAACAGGCTCACAAGACACACAGCCAGCTGGCTGCCACACACCCTCTGAGTTGGCGTACACAGAACTCAGGGCCACGTCCCCCCTGTCGCCCCCCCCCCCCCCCAGCACACACGGTGCCAAGGGTACAAACAAGGGCACAACAACACAAAAGACGACAGGGAGTTACGTGCGAGGCTAGAGCAGACCGCTCCGCCTCTAGCAATCTCGCCGGCCGCAAGGCATGGACGAGACCGTGTGTGGGGTCTTGTGAGGTGTCTATGGACGCTCCCTCACAGGCTAGCGGCCTACTGCTAGCCCTAACTCGCACTCATGGGAGATGTCAATTCATTGTATGAGTGTTCGCGAGCAGAGGCGCGTGTGCTGAATCTAGATCGCACGCCGTGGCATATGACTTGGGGAGGCGTGCGACCGCAGCGCGCCCGCCGTAAGGTCGACGGGGCGCGCGTGTCAGCGAGAGAGATGCGGGCGGAGCCATACCCGACTTTTCGAAGACGAGCCCCGCGCCACGGTTGCCAGCCGTGCCTTCGCGGGACTCGCCCCTCGAGCCGCGTCCCGTCGGCACTGTCCCTGAGTGCGTCCCGCCTTGGCGGCACACACTCGACGAGGACAGTCCGGCCGACGGGAACGTGTCGCGCGCCGGCGACGGTTGCGGCGGGGTGGGTGTGTGTACGAAGCGACGATGGCACGACCACCGCCCTACATCGCAGACCGGGCAAGGAGGCGCCCGCGCACGTTCCGAGGAACAGGAGGCCTCTCCCCCTCCCCCGGCCTGAGCAGCTACGGGTGGAAGTCAGCCCCTTGAGTCGAGGGCGGCGCGACCACTGCCCTGCTTCAAAGGCCGGAGGCCCCGGTCAGTACAGATGGTCGCGCCGCCCCGCTCGGCGTCGCCCGCCGCCGCGCCGCGCCGCCGCCCGATGAGTATAATTAATAATTAATTAATTAATAAGTAATTACCCCACCCGCCCTGCGTCGCCCGCTGCGCCTCGCGCCGCCCGCCGCCGCGCCGCGCCGCCGCCCGATGATTAATAATTAATAATACGAAAAACGGACGCACACCAAGCGCTAAGCGTGAGGACGCGATTTCGAATTCGGAGGTGGCATCTGAGCAAAATTGGGCCCGCCAGGTGTGAAAAAATTATAAGGGTCATAGTCGCCGATTCGATCCGGAAGCCACTCGACCATCGAGAGGCCGTCGGCCGAGGTCGGCAAACGTAGATCAAATGGTTAGAGATAGCGTCCACTCAGAGACCGATACCCGTAACACATTACCGAGGGAATTAGACACCACAGATACGCACAACCTACGCCCGAAGTGCCAAGAAGGACGTCATTAGTACGAAACCTCAGAAAAAGGCCATGGGCGTCGAGAGAACATTCCCTCGAGAGGACAAAAAGAAAGACTAACGAACCTCCTTCCCTGGTTCCCCCCGCCAAATGTCGCCGTTCTCGGGGCATGCTATCCTGTGTAAGCAGGGCAGGTGGGGGAGGGGGGCACTCCCCCTCGTCTGATACTGGGGTGTGACTGTCTCTAGCGTCGGAGGCAAGGCAAAAGATAAGAATATTCAATTTTAGCCCCCCGCTACCCGGTTGCACTCGTGCGACGTAGCGGGGGGCCACAACTACGTTTACGAAAACATAAGTAGTCCCGCGAGGTGTGAATTGGCCGCCCCAGTAGCCCCCTTTCCAATTGCCTGATTTTGCGGCGCGTCCACAGAGCGTCCAAACTTGTGTTTGGGCGCGAACCGTATCTCGCAACGAATCTCGCCGGCCTCACCGGCCCACACCGGCCCTCACTTTGACCGACGCTACCGTCCGCTCGACTGGCCGATGAAGAGCGACCCGTGCGACGCGCACTTGTCGTCCTCCCTCCTCGCCACATGACGGCCGCCCTCCGACACCGACAGTCGCGCTCCGCACGCCTTCGAGGTCAGCTGCGGCCGAGCGACGATCGGCTCGCCTCCGATCGCTCGGCGCGGTCACTCTCCGGCCCATCACCCGCCTGCCGATCACCTGTCCGCCTCGCCGCGCGCGGGCCGCTCGCCTGCTCGCCACCGCCGCCGCGCGTCCCCGCGCCGCCACGCTTCCCTGTGCACCTGACGGCGCTGCGCAGACGGCGCGCTCTGGCAGATAGAGCAGCGGCCGCCCAGGCGGTCGCTGCTCCGCCCCGTCCGAATCCGTCCGCCCGCGCGTGCCGCTGCCGCCGCCGCCGCCGCCGCCGCCGCCGCGTTTCCCCGCGCCGCCACGCTTCCCTGTGCACCTGACCGCGCTCGAGCTGCGCACAGACGGCGCGCTCAGGCAGACAGAGCAGCGGCCGCCCAGGCGGTCGCTGCTCCGCCCCGTCCGAATCCGTCCGCCCGCGCGTGCCGCTGCCGCCGCCGCCGCCGCTCCACCCGGTGCCCGTGTGTCGTGAGAGTTGCTTTGTGTATGTGTATGAGCGATTCTAAGATCAGGTCTGCCACCTCCCCGCTGGAAACGAAAATCTAAGTTTCAAATCTCGAATAAATCTCGAAGCACACTTGAATGCTCACTTGGCAGGTAACATATGCGCCACGCGCCCCAACCGCTCCTCTGGTCGCCGCCGGCCTCCGCGGCGGCGGCGATGTCCCAGCGCCACCCATCGGCCAGCCCTCAGATCGATCGATCGGCGCTCAAAGTCGGCTTCAGATCCGAGAACGCTGCTGGCGCCGCCGCCGATCCCAGCGGCGACGCCAGCAGCTTCCTCTGCTCTCCAATGCGCCGAGAAGCGACGCGGGGGTGCTCGGCCCGCCATGGACGACGAAGGTTCCGCCGGGCGCGCGTCAGCCGGTCCGGTGGCACCCTCTGCGCGCGGCACCTGCCGGCGCCCCGACGACAGCCGTCGCGCCACCGCTGATGGAGGGGCGGTCGGCGCCGCTGCCGCCGCGCCGCCGGTGGGAGGGGCACTGGTGGTGGCCTGGGCGGCCCTCCGCCGCCGCTCGGGGCGCCCGGGCAGCGGTGGCAGCCTGCCGCCGAACCACTTCGAAATGCCCGCTGACCACTTCGAAATGCCCGCTC